GAGTAACGATGCAAAGATGTATCTCAAGTTTGACAGGTCACAAGTTGTAATTATATTAGACGGCCTCAAAAACGTTACTTTGACACATACTTATTCTGTATAGCCTGAACCGCAGCCCAGAGCACTCTCTCGCCTCCTCCGCCTGCGTTGCAATATGGATGAAAGATCCCGAGGACCGTTCTAGTTTGTTGTCTCTCCTCGCGTCTCTTGGAGTAAACCTTTCTCAATCTTGTCAATATAATTGGCAAAAGGACGAACACAAGGACGAGCACAAGGAGTACTTGCAGGGCAAGTATTAGTAACTGCATGTTTACGAATAAGATTTTTATGGGTGTCCTGTAAAGATAAGTTGAATTAAGTAGAGACATGTCTATAGATACGCTTAAATATAAAGACAATAATTTCCTTATCAATATTGTAGAATATCACTACAATAGGCGAGACTTTTACAAATACAATCTAAAGCTGATTTAATTACAAACCAGCCAGTATAAATATTGCGACTACACATTCTTCAAGACATTCTTATGCAAACTGAGATAAAAGTTTAATTATGCCAAGGTAGCAATGAGAGAAATGGAGAAACAGACTGCGGATAATAGTAAGAGGAAAAATTAATCAATATTATGGAACATTACTACAATGAGCAAGACACAAATTTAATCTAAAGCCAGCTAAATAAATCATGTACGGTAGTAACCAATGAGTTTGAAACTAAGCGTAAAATTCTTCAGGTCGAATATTCTCGCGAGATAAAAATCTAATTATTTCGAAGCAACGGGGGAAGACGGATATTCGCAAAAGAAAGGGGAGAAAAAGATTCTTAATGCTAGAGAACTCTATTTGCAAGTTACACACCATGCAAGAGGATCGCACTAACGAGCTGCTAACGAGCGATATCCCTTACATTAGGAGGTAAAAAATCGCGATCATGTTCGCGGCCACTTGCGGATCTGCACGTGGAACCGCCGAGCTTGCTGACGTGTAATTTTGGTCCTCAAGCCTCAAGCGGACAATCTCTCACGGGCGGGAATTAACCTCGCACCTCGCACCGAAAACTAACCTCGCTGTCGCGGGAGATTAGCTCTCTCTCTCTCTCTCTCTCTCTCTCTCTCTCTCTCTATCTCTCTCATTTTTAACATACGTCAGTAAACACAGATGGCGGAATCAGCGCCATCAGCTGATCAGCTAGAGTCCTATCTCTGGGGTTCGTGTCGTGTGCCTTCGCTCGCGTCTCGCGTCGTCGCGTCGCGGAACTTGCGTCAACGCCGTCAACGGCGTCAACTTGCGTGCCGTGCGTACCCGTTGTCCGTTATCCGTCTCCGGTGCGTGCTCCCCGTCCGCGCGGCCGATTAATCCGCCCGTCGACGCGAGATAGTCGCGCTCGCGCTCGGCGAGCGACGCGCTCTTCCCAGCTCCCGAGCCGAGGGCTCTCCGTTGACCGTTCACGGAGAGCGCGAGGCGACATTTAGGTTATAAACCGCGCGAGGTGCCGCGGGAATCGAACGGTGGAGACCGGGTGGACCTGTTCGTTGTGCGTTGTGCGTGCTGCGTGCACAACTCGCCTCCACGAGTCGCGCGTCGTATGCGGATCCTCGCCGATGTGTGCGCGCGGGCGCTGAAAAGACGAGCAGTCAGTTGGCATGATTCTCTCTAACGCGCCCGAACCTCGTCTGATTACGGAGAAGAATGGAAGCGACGAAGGTGATGGAGTCTCAGAAGGATGCTGACCCTTCACGGGCACAAAGGGGTGAAGGTACGTCGAGCGTCGAGCTGCCTATACTTCACAATCAGACGTAAATCACGCACTCTCTGTTCCAGTGTTGTGAAGAGTGAAGACTGATAACGAAAGAAAGTAACCGAATATTCTTAAGGGATGCTCAATCAATATATTTATTCATTCTCTGTTGGTTGTCATCATTATCACAATCTACGTTCAAGATTTCGAAGACGGGAGACAAAGATTTGAATCATATAGCTTTTATCTTCAGTTGTCTAGACATGCTAAATGAATCATGCGATGATTTGAACAATACCGTGTCATTTAAAGGTCGTTCTACTTTAGTTGCAAGCAATCCATATTGTCGCAAGTCGCAAGAGGCTTGCAATTTGAACTTTTATACTGCAGTCTTAAATCACAGCTAATCAAAGGAGAGATTTCGTTGTAGAAATTTCGTTGTCAACATGTCCTAAGCAAGCAGAACTGCTAGTGGTACAAGTAGGTCACATTTTTAACAGAGTGCGTTTATTCGCCAATATGATACTTTATACTTAAACACCTTCGATTTAACTTCATTGTTGATTTTCTTAAACTATCAAGAAAGCTATTATGAAGAGTGAAAAGTATGGTATTGTTCAAATCATTGCATGAATCGTTTAGCATGTCTAGACAACTGAAGATAAAAGCCATATGATTCACATCTTTGTCTCCCGTCTTCGAAATCTTGAATGTAAATTGTGATAATAATGACAGATAACAGAGGAAGAATAAATATATTAGCTGAGCGTCCCTTAAGAATATTCGGTTACTTTCCTTTGTTACTAATCATTGTCATTGATCATAATTATACACAAATACTGTTTATTAATTAACATTATAAGTTATTGTTTACTGAAATTTACTTGCAGAGAAAAGAAGTGATGGTAGAGGTGCCAAGCCCAAACGTCGTAAAAGGTGAGTGAGATTCATTTCTTGCATGAATATTTTCTCACTTGAACTGAGTGAAAACAAAATTGAAGCTTTCAATCGGTTTAACGGTAGTCGAATTCTTTCGTTGAACAACAGTTCAGAAGCACGAGCACGAGAACATGATATTGTTTTAATAACATGATTGCGAAGGTATCTGCAGTGTCACGCTGTAACCGGAGGACCGATCAAATATCGAAATTGGAGCCCTGTAGATCGTCGCATTTGATCCGAATCCGTTCGATCGCAGAATATGCAACGTGGATGTATTAACAGGTGCCTGGTTGTCCTCCGTGTTGTCGCGTGCACAGAATCGTCCGGAGCCAATATCAGCGCGCGTTCGGAATCCACTTGAGATCTGTGACAGCTTCATTATGAAGTCTCATTAATTGTAACGCGCGACTCGTTTCGACGAGTATCAAGTGCGGCTAAAATAACGAAAAGGCAAAAGTAATTTTAGCAAACGGAGGAATGTGTCAGATCTGAATTGTAGGAATAGTAATACGTGCATTGGGAGAAATTCGTAGAAGATTCGGGGGAATTTTCTGACTAGCGCGCGACGAGAAATGGCACGAAATTCTAAGAACGCGTGGAAATACAACGTGTTAATCGAGACACCTTATACCGGGTAAGTTGTGTTGTTAACGGAAGGATTCGAGTTCCTCTCGATTGACATCTGATTAAATGAGTCACGCTTCATTCCGGTCATTAATTTCCCACAATTATCTTGTCGCATTTTATTTTCTGAAGATCTATCAACGTGGCAACGTCTGACGCTCTCTTTTTAGAGCTGAATTCCGAGGGCAGACAGTAAAATTGAATTAGTCCTCACGACCATTCTTTATATACTTTGTTAAACGCGAGCGCGTTACATTATGATTTACGCGTCATATGCGGTTTGTGGTTTAATAGCTGTTAAGCGAGATCACGCACGTGACAGAAGGAAAGGGAGAAAAAGAAATTATTTATCGTGTATCTTATTCCGATAATGCGAGAATATCGAGTGACTTGAAATTCCGACACCCAAATTCAGAGGAGTATATAGGAGTATCAGAAGACGCGCCGTCGCGTCGCCTTGGAAAAAAAACAACAAAAAACCCGTCCGATAGAAACTTTAATACTCCTCTGAAATTGGGTGTCGGAATTTCAAGTCACTTGATATTCTCGCATTATCAGAACAAGACACGCGATAATTTCTTTTTCTCTCTTTCCTTCCGCGACGCACATGCACCAGTATCACGAAATCCCCCTTCAATCTCGCTCGACGGAATCGCTATCTGGAGCATGCCTTTCTCTCTCGTCCGAGTTTGCCACGAGCAGTCGGCACAGGTAGCCTGACTCACCTGGTTCTCTGAATATTCACCTCTCGGTTTATATCCGTTAAACATGTACCATTTTCGTATAACGTGCCGCGATGAGATTGACGTTTTCGCCGTGCCTTATAACGTATTTTGAATCCTTGATCATTATACGATCAGAAAATATATTTTTACGCAGACGATTATTTTTTTACGGTTGGATATAGTGTTTTCATCATGTGGACAACTGATTTAAAGTGTTACTGTTGTTTGTTGCGATAACGACAATGAATATGGAAACTTAGCGTGACTTCATTGTCGAGTTCGGTGCTTCTTTAGACTCGCGGAAGAGTAATGACGATTACTTCAGCAAATTATCGCTGCCTCGTGGTCACATGAGGTTCCTCTTTGTAGCGATGTATACGCGATATTTACTGTGATGATTACTGTGTTACCTACCTCTTAGGATTATTGAACTCTCAGTTAGTCGGGAGAAATGTGAAATGAATAATAACTTAATGTGACAAAATAAGTATCACAATTTTACTCGACGAGCACAAAAAATTGACGTCGTATAATATCGCGCCGTTTAATCTAACACGAGATGGTGAAGTTCAGGGGTCCGTTGGTGCATCGGGTTAAACTGGCGTATCGCAATCTAAAGGATATGACGATGACGAACGAGGTGGACCACTCGATATCGTGTGAAAACATAAGATTGCTTGATGGGTCAGTACGTAAAATTATTGTTTATGCATAGAATCGGACCCAAGAAATTGAATCGTCGATTTTCTAGGGCTATATTACTGTGAGAATTTCACGTGATGCCTTCTCAAAAAGATCACGAAAAAGAAGAATATTGAAGCTTAATATATTCTTCTTTTTCGTGATCTTCTTGAGAAGGCATCGCGTGAAGTTCTCACAGTAATCTCTAAACATGTGTCGCGAATATGATAACAAGTATCGTCATCATTGCACGAGTATTAAATCGCAAATATCATATAAGTATTAATTATGCTATCTTTGCCATGCCTAATTTCTTTAATAATGGCAAAGATAGCAGAATTAACGAAAAACTTTCAAGCTTAAGGAGGTTCGACTGTTTCCTATATATAGTTTATAGTATAATTTTGTTTTCATGATTAAACAGTGTAAAGCTAGTCTCCAGAAATAATTCATAAACAATATGTTATTATTGGGACAGAAAAAGCAGAGAAATCGCAATTTTGTCCTATTTTTTATACTTGATATTGTTTAAATAAATCATTTAAAAATTGAAAAAAATCCAACTTAAAAAATTAAAAAACCGTGATTGCAATTCTCGATGTCACAGAAGTGTGCCATAAAAATTTTATTCACTTTTACCGAGACTTTTACCGTCTAGGAGAGATATATAATATATGATATTTACATGGGGAGTATATCTATGTATATATGTATACACAATTTCTGTAACTTTAAAGCGAACTTTTAAAGCGAATATTTCAGAAATGCGACGATAAATCGTTTTGCAATTTCACACACGGTAAGATTATATACATTTCAAGACTACACAAAAATTTCAAATCTGTAAATTGGATTTGACCTAATAGTCGAACCCCCTTAACAAATACATTCTAAGAATCAAGAATATTTGATTTACTTTTGAAGAGAATTTTCAAAGTATAACATGATGTTAACCGATGTTTCAAAATCCGAAAGAAAGAATTAATACGTTTATTTCTTTGCATATCAAAATTATCTCTAGCAAATCGACGATTCACTTTCTTGAATCCGTCTATATTACAGGCTATATAATGACACGATATCAGCGAGATTTTTCTTCATTAAAACCTCATTAGTACGTATTGGGATCTTCATTAAGTTCCTTCTACAGTCCGCATGCATATATGCGTCTAGCTTGCCAAACGAAAGTTTACCACGAGCAGAAAGCCTTTTACCTAAACGAGTAACTTTCACGCGTGTTGGAATTAAGGTTGCTAATGTCGTGCAACTTGTGGATACAAGATATAATAGTTGCGCGTGACCGATACCCGTATCAGAATTTACCGTTGCGTTAGCAGTATCTCGCGACATAAAATCGCCAAGATGCACGTCCTTGTCTGGCGGCGTGTCGGGTCTGCCGTCGATCATGCTCGATTTATCGCGTACACGTGCACTCCGTTCAATTTGATATTCCGTCGCGATAAAACGCCACATTGTTCGGCAGTTAAGAGACACTCGCGCTCATACGTCTGAAGAATATGACGTGGCTAATGATGCGTTTGTATCTTTTACGTTTATTATATTCAATCCGAGGGATTCAGCGCCGGGAAATATTATTACGATCGTAAACATTGCAAATTATGTAATTCGTAATTATGTTTCTGTAATTGTACCATAATTTGCGCAGACACAATCCCATTTGATGGAAAATCACATATGATGGGTGTAATCAAGAGTAATTTGAAATAATTGGATAAAGATATAATACAATTATTATTATTTTAGATGTATTATTATCGGCCCATGTGAATCATAAATATAAAGGACCCCGCATAAACCTTATGGATTTTGGCCATAAATCGAAAATTATTTTTTTGAGATTCAAAGAGGGCAAGGAAAACGCTCGAAGGAAAGTTCGTTTCTTTATCTGTGACGAAATCAATTCGACCCTAAAAGTAATTTGGAATAATTGGATAAGGATAATATAACTATTATTATTTTAAATGTATTATTATCGTTTTATCACGTGTATATGAGACGTAAATCAATATAAATTTCTACCATAAATTAAAAATTATTTTTTTGAGATTCAAAGAGGGTAAGGAAAATGCTCAAGAGAAAGTTCGTTCTTCGTCTGCGGTGGCGAAATCAATTTGCCCCTGATCATCCCTTAACGTTCCATGGAACTCCAAGTATTTGGGCTCTTCATCGAGCGATTCTTCCGCGTCTCCGGCTCGGCATTGTCACGTATGTCGTGCTGGTCCGCGTATCAGTCGATATCACCAGCGATCGTCCGGCTTTTATTCTCTCCGTCGAACGTCTGAAGAAGTGTGCCGTGGGCAAAAAGGTGATCCGTGAGCAACCGATTGTGGGACAGGCGATTACCGAAGTTATCAGTCGCTCGGTGATATCAATTCGCGTCGAGTATCGCACAATATTTTGGTGCCGCGTCTTCCCCACTCGTTCGCCGTCTCCAGCTCGCTCGTAAAAATCGCAATCGACGAACGTCCACGTTTCTGCCGCGCGGCAAAAAATCGCATTTTTACAGGGGAAGACAGATCGCGATACGATCGCGTGTTTCTCTGGATCGTTCTCTTTTCGCCAGGCTTCTGACTGCTCGAAATATTCGGATGATAGTTTGGACGATAGTTCGAAGTTGGAGTTTCCATGGTGGAACAGCGAATCGATATAGGAGATTCGACCCGGCTTGCTAACTCTTTGGTTAAAATCGAATCACGATTTCATATCGCGCGGCTCTTATCGGAGCGCGACAATAAAGCAGACGAACAATGAAGTCGAATTTTCCCGGAAATACCACGAGAACGTTCCTAACGTTCGCTTAAATTAACGTTCGCTAAAGCCTGCGTCATTTTATCGGGAATGTAACTTTGTTCCCAACTTCTGCATGCGACTTTTTTTTCGTGCTTATCTACCGTGCCGGACGATAGAAAATAGATAATTTTTGAGAGCCTAATTCGAGGTAGATAAGGAACTGCGGCGCGTAACGATTTCCATTAAGTCGAATTGAATATAGAACTTCAGGTTCTCCGTTTGATGATGAAGAGTGAGGAAAGGTTGCCTCTTCTTAACAAAAAAACTTACGGCGCCGTCGATACTTTATGGTAAGCTCCTGGAGAAATGCGATTGTTAATTGTTGTGCAATATTACGCACCTGTGTTGGGAAGGAACAAGTCATTTCCGCCGAAGTCATTTCCACAAAGTTGCTGGAGATTTAATTTATTTTCTCTTTCCTTATATAGACCAAATGGAATCAAGGAAAAATATAGAAATAGATAAACGTTAGTCAATTTTAATAAATAGTTTTAGGATTTTTAGCCATTAGTTTTTTAAGCTTTTTTTTTAGATTAACGAACGTAACGAATGCACAGCTTGAGGTTCGGGGATCTTTGAATTGAAATAAAACGAACTTGTATTAGCTTCTCTCTGTTGAGTCTTGGCACTCTGTATTTCAAATTTATAATTTATAATCTTATCTACCTATAGTATTCCGGCAAGTCATGTTCATCTGCTTAGCGTTTGTGGAGTATCGTTTAGTAATTATAGCTTGCGCTGAACGTTGTTTGTATAGAGTTTACAGAAATCTATTTCCGCGGTGTCGACATACTGCTGTTATCAACGAGCAGATAAGAGGCTAGAGTTTTTGAAATTAGAGATAGCCGACTGAAACGTTCATTGTCTTCTAACGTGGTACGACAGATCGTTGCGTGCTGCATATCAGAGTTCTATGCTAGCGCACGCCGTTAATTTGTAACTTTTTCGAATCTCTCTCCAAAACTTTCGTAACATCTTTTATCTACGATGTTGATTCACGGAATGATGAATATGGAATCTCTTCGGTTTATTACGTCATTCACGTCAAACATATTGCGCAAGTCCGTAAAAGAGATTACTTACAGTAAGCAAAGCATTAATTGGTTTAAAATACTATGAGACCGTTATGGCAATTTATTTCGTAATGATAAGTACAGGATCCCTCCATCGTCTCGTCATCTTCGGCCCATCTTAAAATAAAATGCGGAACATATTGCTAGAAGAAGTAACAACATCTAAATACAAAATTTTACTTTATTTGTTAAATTCAAAATGTCTCTTAATTTATTACAGTATATGTAGTATATTAAAGCAATATATTAAAATAGAATAATTTTATTTGGAAGATAAAATGCGATTTACTTTAAAAAATCCTTTTTTTAAGCCGGAAAATAATCAGTTCAATATCATTAATCAGTATTTTTTTAAATACAATCCACTCATCATATTGCACTGGATTTTAATGATGAATCACATCACATTGTTACGAAAAGATCGGATTAAAATCGACGATCAGCTTTATCGCGATAAACCCGGGAGACAACTTACGTTGCAGAATGTCTGATTTACTATGAAAATTTGCAGTGATGGCGACAACCCCGATTCTAAGGGTATCACGCACCTGGTGCGTGCACTACGCACGTCGGAAGCGTGGCAGCTCGCGCAGGAGACCAGCACGGTTAAAATCGGCATCGAGGGTATGACCTGTCAGAGTTGCGCGAACAACATCGAAAGGGTGATCGGCAATCGGCCCGACGTCGTCAGTATCAAAGTGGTTCTGGAGGAGAAAGCCGGCTACATCGAGTACAAAACGCACGAGATCACACCCCGTGAATTGGCAGAGGCGATCGAGGACATGGGGTACACCGCCAGCCTGCCATCCAACCTGACATCCAGCAACGCGGAGAACAAAGCGAACAACTCCTCAATACCTGCCACCTGCAACATACACGTAGACGGAATGACGTGTCAGTCGTGCGTTAAAAACATCACCGGTGAGTCGACATATGAAAATAAAACAAATCCAGGATGCGTGATTCGGCATTGTTCACTTTAACAAACCTTTAATAAAAGATTCATTAGCGACATCAATATCTGAAAATTAGACACCAGGAAATCTTGGTTCTTATTTGTTATGTTTATATAATATCTTTACACTCACTTGAAAAAAAGATTGCTCTGTTCGTATATGATAAAGTAATAACTGTTTGATGTTTTCTTGGTTTAAAACTTTTAAATTTTATCCTTTATATCTTTTATATTTTATCCTTTATATTTCTTATAAGGCCATGATGTGTATTTTCTGTTGTAGATGTTCTATCCGAAAAGCCCGGTATAAAGAACGTGAACGTCAGCCTGGAGGATAAAGAAGCCAAAGTCTCTTACAGTAGCGGTGATGTAACAGTCGATCAGATAGTAATGTATATAGAGGACATGGGCTTCACTGCGTATGTAAAAAAAGCGAAGGACGAGGCATCGCAATTGGATGCTGATATCAATAAAAAGAAGAAGAAGACGGAACTGGTGCTGCAAGCGAACGGCGCTGGTGATGTCAAAAAACAATTGTCAAAGTGCTTCCTGCGTATAACTGTACGTTATGTTTCATATGTATATTTTTTATACTCTTTACATATATTTATAAATTTTCCAATTAAGTAGCGCCTCGTGTTAACAATATAACCAGATAATTGATTAATTTGTGGTTATGAAAAAGGGTATGACTCACGCTCACCATGTCACTGGGATAGAGAAACACTGTAAAAAGCTGTACGGAGTAAATAGCGTACTGGTGGCTTTGATGGCCGCCAAGGCAGAAGTCACGTACAATCCTGACAAAATAAAAGCGGCGGATATTGCTTCCTGTATATCGGAATTGGGTTTTCCTACGACTTTAATCGAGGAATTCGGGACCGAAGAAGTCGAAGTCGAGTTAAAAGTAAGACAGTTGAAGATTTAAAGTATATTTTTAGATTTACATTAATAGTATTGATTGAAAACAGAACTTCGTTCGTTTAGCATGGATTCTGGAAATAAATCCCGCTTATGTCTATAACGGCACAATTCTCGAACGTGCTTGGTATAAAAAAAAATTTAAATTAAAATTATGTAGAAAGTTAGAGATTTATAACTACTTCGTATGCACAGCCTTGTGGAGACGTAGCACGTTCCTGACTTAATTCTTTTCAGATCATGGGAATGACGTGCGCGTCTTGCGTAAATAAAATAGAATCGACCGTGAAGAAGCTACCTGGTGTACGATCGGCGATGGTCGCTCTAGCGACGCAGCGGGGCAAGTTCAAGTACGACGTGGAAATGACTGGTGTCAGAGATATCATCGAATGTATCAATAATTTGGGTATTTACACGGCCAGTCTGTTTAGCAATCGAGATAAGGAAAATAGGGACTACCTGGATCAAAAGTAAATACAATTTTCGATATGAATAATATACACGTTGCGCGCGCGCGATATACAAGAGTTTTTAATGGTAATTGTTTGTATTGCAGAGAAGAGATAAGTAAATGGCGAAGAACGTTCTTCATATCGCTGATTTTCGGAGTTCCGAGTATGGTATCGATGACATATTTCATGCTAGTTATGTTGTTCGGTAACAAGACACACGAGGAAATGTGTTGCATAGTACCTGGTCTTTCTTGGGAAAATCTGTTACTCTTTGTGTTCTCCACGCCGGTGCAGGTATGCGCAACGAGAGTATATTTACCCTTACCATATTCAGTTGTATGCGTTTCGAATTAATTATTCATATTACTATGCAGTTTTTTGGTGGCTGGTATTTCTATGTGCAAGCCTATAAAGCTTTGAGACATGGTACAACCAACATGGACGTTTTAATCTCGATGACTACTACGATCTCATATCTTTATTCTATCGCCGTTCTCTCTGCTGCTATGATAATGCAAGAGAACGTCAGTCCACAGACGTTCTTCGACACTCCACCGATGCTCTTGGTCTTCATCAGTCTGGGAAGATGGCTTGAGCATGTGGCGAAGGTACCTCACCATGATTGAATCCTTTGTATAAAAAAATATAACCAAAAATAACGCTAAAATGTTTATTTCGCTTTTAGGGAAAGACGTCCGAAGCTCTCTCAAAACTGTTATCTTTAAAAGCCACGGATGCAGTGTTGGTTACGTTAGGACACCACAAAGAAATATTAACGGAACGCTCGATAAGCGTTGACCTGGTGCAACGTGGCGACATACTAAAAGTGGTCCCAGGTGCCAAAGTGCCTGTCGACGGCCGCGTATTGTTCGGTGAGTCGACCTGCGACGAGAGTCTGATCACCGGTGAGAGTATGCCAGTGCAAAAGAAGGAAGGTTCGATGGTGATCGGTGGTTCGATCAATGAGAACGGATCGTTGGTGATCACCGCCACGCACACGGGCGAGCACACGACGCTGGCGCAGATCGTTCGCTTGGTGGAGGAGGCGCAGACGAACAAGGCACCTATCCAGCAACTGGCCGACAAGATAGCCGGCTATTTCATACCCCTGGTCATAGTGGTCTCCCTAGTGACGCTAGTGATTTGGATCATCATCGGCTACATGAATGTCGAGCAGCTGCCCATGTCGCACAACGACCAGTTCAATAAGCACGGCTTGAGTCGCGTGGAGATCATATTTCAATACGCCTTTCGAAGTGCCCTGGCAGTACTCGCGATTGCTTGTCCCTGCGCTCTTGGCCTGGCCACCCCGACCGCGGTTATGGTCGGCACGGGCGTAGGTGCACTAAACGGCATTCTGATCAAGGGCGCCGAGCCGCTGGAGAATGCGCACAAAGTCAAATGCGTTGTCTTCGACAAGACGGGAACGTTGACGCACGGTGCTCCAACCGTCACCAAGATCGAATTGTTCGTGGAGGAGATGGTCTGTTCATTGGGGACGTTGCTGACGGTCGTCGGCACGGCAGAAAGAAACAGCGAACATCCTATCGCGGCAGGTAAATATCACCATGCTTTCTGTACCGTTACGTTTACATTGAACCGCGCAATGATCGTTAATTTCTTTTTCAGCGATCGTACGCTACGTGCAGGACACAATCGGATCGAAAACTGGGCAATGTACGAATTTTGAAGCAGTTCCCGGCTGCGGTTTGAAATGTAAGGTATCTCATTTGGAAGGTGCGCTGGGCGAGTCGTTGCAATCCGAAAAGCTTATAAACTACATGGACCAGTCGCACAACGTGTCGACTGGAACGTACAATGTCAATAACGTGCGCATCGACAAGTTGTCGATCGTCGAGAAGCCGGTAGCCGATCGTCAAGAGATGCAAAAGTTAAATCTACAATTACTTTTGGAGTCTCCGCGTGGCGATTCGAACATGATTGATGAGGTATACGAGATGTGCATTGGTAATCGGGAATGGATGCGCCGGAATGCGATCAACGTTCCGCAGGAAGTCGACGAGAGGATGGTGAACGAGGAGAACCTAGGACACACCGCGGTTTTGGTCGCGATAAACAATCTTCTGGTCGCCATGATCAGTGTCGCTGATACAGTAAAGCCCGAGGCACATCTCGCAGTCTATACCCTGAAGAAAATGGGATTGGAAGTGATCCTCTTGACGGGCGATAATAAGAAAACCGCGGCTTCGATTGCCAAACAGGTACGGAATAACAAGATCCTATTGTATTGAATTTCTATGATTAGATCAGTTTTTATTGGCTTCCTGGGAATATGTAGGTCGGCATCGACAGAGTTTTCGCGGAGATGTTACCGTCCCACAAGGTGGCTAAAATTCAGCAACTGCAAAAACAGGGTTTGAGAGTCGCCATGGTGGGAGATGGTGTCAATGACAGTCCGGCTCTAGCTCAATCAGATGTCGGTATCGCTATCGCGTCTGGCACAGACGTTGCCGTGGAGGCTGCCGACGTGGTTCTGATGCGCGTAAGTCATGCACAAAATAAGTGAAAGTAATGTGTTCTACGAGTTATTACACGAAAGCAATATCAAATGTTTTGCAGAACGATCTTCTAGATGTAATCGCGTGTTTAGATCTATCGAGGAAAACGGTCCGCAGGATAAGACTGAATTTCTTATTCGCTAGTGTCTACAATCTTCTGGGTATTCCCATAGCTGCCGGAGTATTTAGCTCCTTTGGTTTCTTCCTACAGCCATGGATGTCTTCCGCCGCCATGGCTTTAAGTAGCGTGTCGGTAGTAGGAAGTTCCTTATTATTGAAGCTGTAAGTAGCTAATACCACTTTTTAATCATGGATTTAAAATATTTGTAATATGATCTTAGAGAAATAAAGAGATAGAAAGATTACGTTATTTATTTCATAATCAATAGAATGTTTTAACGTATATTGGAAATTTTTGCAGTTATCGTAAGCCGACTAAAGCCACGTTGGAAACTCCCGGATACCTAGAAGCTAGGTTTACCCATTCCATAGGGCGATCGAACGATTTGAATACGATAATAGTGGATCCGTTCCATCGTGGATCGAACGATTCGCTGAACAGATATAAATCAGCTATGAACAGATCAACGTCCACACTGTCCAGGTATTATAGGCAAAAAAAGAACACGTTATTCTTACAAAATAGAAATAGCTCCGTTGCTTAATATTATGTACAGCTAATTGATGTTAAATATAGGAGAAAATTAATTATTTATTTCTTATACTAACCATGTACAGAATTATTTTTGATAGTGCAACTTATGCTCTTCCTTTTATCGCTTATTAAAATATCGATATTATGTGTAATTATTATTGTTTGCGAATAACAACTCAAAATCAAATATAACTAATCGATAATTATATGCTTAATATCACATAATTGTACAGAACATATAAATATTAAGGGGGCGCATTTGATAAATTCAGGCCATTGTAAATATACTTTATATATTTTAGATATTTTTATACAGGATGATTCTTAATTATATTTAATTTCAATATAATGTTATAATTAAATTTTAATTCAATGTAGTTCCTATAATTTTCTTCCGAAACATATTTTCTTAATAATTTTCATGATTTTTCAAAAGTATAAAGAAACTAATTTTTGCTTAACTTTTCATTTAAATGTCTTAAAAAGAGAGAAATTGATATCGATATTAAATAATTCAGAATCATTCTGTATGTGACGCATGATGTGTTCAATCAAGCTATAACATTTTTCATGTTTGAAATTACATTATTCTTACTTTATAATGATACTAAAGTTGATCAAAATTATTATTTCTGCGAAAAGATTTTATTTTAAATGTTACAAAAGTTTTGTTTATTTTCTGGGAAAAATGTTGGTTTGTTACTTACAATAGAATATAAGACTGAGAAAAAGAATATTCTTATCTGCGAGAGAAATGTGTTATCAAATTGAAATTGTCTTTATTATAAATATAATTCTTTATAATGATACCGAATGTGAAATTAATGAGTAAAATTGTCTAAGAAATGAATGACATGTGTCGTTGCTGTGGAATATTTAAAGAACTTATTTGTTGGATGTAATGTATTATGAATTTGACTGTACATGAGAAAATACATGAAAATAATTAATGAGTAAAATTATCTAAATAATTGACATGTGTCGTTGCTGTGGAATATTTGAAAAACTTATTTGTGTTGGATGTAATAAAAAATATTTGTTGAATGTAATGTATTATGAATTTGACTGTACATGAGACAATACATGAGAAAATACATGAAAATGCATGAGAAAATCATATTTTTATTCATGCTGTTAACACATTACATCATCATCGAGAAAATATAACACATACATCATTTGCTGAAGTGCACTTATAAAACTAATATTACACTAATATAACGTATTAATATGCTATGTATAATCTTTGTTGCATACAGCCATTTGGATAGCTACAAATTAGCTAATATAACAATTAATATGTTGTGCATCACGAAATCTATTTGCAGAATATTTGGAAAGTCAAAACTCGAGGTGGAGGGCCATCTCCTTGGCGAGGAAGCAGATGAAACTGATTTAGCTGTGGATTTTTCGAATTATCGTAAAAACGCGAAGAACTCTATGGACATAACTTCCGTATGAATCTTGCACGAGCAGACTGTCTGACAAGCATTTTAATTCCGTTGACTTTTTGCAGCAAATGAATCGAACGTTACCAATAATTTTAATATTACTTTATAATGGAGCTAACAGAAGAAATTGTATAAAAATAGTCAACTAACAATTCTTACAATATAAAGCGATTTTCACTTTTCACATTAAAAATAAGCTGCATCGCGAAAGTAGTATATACCAATAATTCATACAAGACTTCGTGAATCGATTTGAGTGATATTCATGTTCAAACGAATTGATTGTTATATTTTTATAAACTTTATATATTAAGATGTGTAAATAATACCGACCTACCTGACTGTGAATGTTTTCATAACAGGATAGCAGTACTTCCTTTTTATTGCAATTAATAGATACAAGTTTTATCAATAGTTTTATCTTATTACATGCAGATGTACTTAATTCAAATGGTAAATGAAAAAAATTACGTTTTACACATTTTTAAAAATACATGCAATATTTTATATACGTTTTATATATTATAAGACATTACGTATATGTCCTTTTTTATTTTACAGATTTTAAAACAAACATAAAATATAAAACTATTTTATATAAAATGTATAAAACTAAAAATCACGTGATTTTAGAAAAATTGTAAAAATCTTAAAAGTTTATCGCACTCAATCATTTTTAAATTATACATTTTATTTTTCGACTGAATTGCAACGATTGAAAGTAAAAGAAACGAAAATCACGATCTGTTAACAGAGATATTTATTATAAATTATATATGAAATATCAGAAATCTTAAGCGCTGCAATTGTAACTTGCATTAAATAAAAAGAGATGCGAATAACGGTGTTACTTTTAAACGTAATTTAAGAAATTTTTATATTACTATTTATATTTTCTTTCAAATACTTAGTAAGACACCACAATGTGCGTCTAATATTTAAGATACGAGACAATGCGTATGTATATACATATACAAAATTTTTTAGCATGGATTTTGTGCTTTATTTTTTTCATTTTGTGTAACCTCTCTTGTACAATATTATTTAAAACATATTTGTAACCAATTCCTTCTTACATATAAAATAGCGTTTAAATATTAATAAGTAAAAATTATATATACAGTTATTAAAAGATTCTATATCATAATATTGTTTATATAAGATAATTTATGATTACTAAGATTCTCCAGGTTTTTAATATTCTCGATAACAACGATATATAATTTACATGTACATAAAATCACGATAGAACAGTAGAACAGTAGTAAAATTATAAATATCAATTTTCCTATAAAAGGAACCTTTGCATAAAAATACTTCTTTGACAGCTATCGATAGCAATTAAGACACATAATTTGCTCGTCGCAGTTATATCTGAAACAGAACAACGCATACCAGTTACAAATGGTATACACGAAGCTTTTACAAAAGTACACATGGCTAACAACTTACACAGGTACAGAGCAGTTCTGACAGAACAATTCTGTGCATTTGGCGCACACAGCCTGACAGGTGAGACACAGCGCCTGATCGCAATAGTAACACGCGCTCATTGTAGATCGATCTATCAATCGGCCACATCCGCAAAGGTCTATCTGGACATCCTGGAAGAAAAAACAAATGGTCACAAAGCCGTCTACGTCTAAGACGGTCCAAGTGCCACAACGGCTCTCCCACAACCTACATTGACAAGTTTGTCGCTAGTTTTCAGCTGCAATTTATCGGTCAACAGCATCTGCTTCAGATTGGACGTAGATCTGAATTTACAAGGTGACGGACGTTGAGTGGAAGGTAGATCTGTAGAATCCATTTGTGCGGACGTGTTAAACTTATGGGCGAGTGCCTTCGCGCCTGCCTTGAGCAAACTCAGGGTCCTATCTGGAAACGTATGCGCGGAGTCAGGTGTTAAGATTCGAAAGAGAACGTACGAATTATTTTGCGCAAAGCGAGCTAAATAGGTATTCTTACCGTAGACATCCCTCATCCGCTGGTCGCTGGATACGCCGTTATTCATCTGTTTCTCTCCCACGTGCACTTTCAACTGCGGCAACAGGTCGCTTTCGAAGGGACAGGCACGTTTTGGCATTTTCCAAACTTGGCGTTAAACGATTAAAATGACAACATGACACTGTCGCACACGTGCCGCAACGTCAGACAGAAGCCTGAGAATTAACAATAAAACCTGCCGAAAGTGCCGAGTGCCGGCGTTTTAGGTGGAATCAGATGGAATTGGATGGAATCTGTTTACTAATAGCGCCTCTCGTGTGTTGCTGTGTTGCATTTTCCGACGCGCCGCTTGAGAAAGTGCAACTCAACTACGTCGTATCGCTCGGTAACCGCACATGGTTTGCATCCGTGCTAATGGTTCGTGTCCGAACTAGCCAGCTGGAGGGGATATTCTGGCCGCGGCGGCCGCGCTCGGCCGTTAATGATCACTACGTGTTCGCGATATATAAGACGCGTTTCGAGAGACAGCTACGTCGACCAGACACCACCGAGACAGAACGTAGAGAATACAGCCAGTTAAACCTGTGAAAGTTAACGAAAAATTCGGCATACGTTGATCTCTTATTGTTCGTTGAAAGTTTTCGGTATTTTTGAACCGGCCGCGGCCGCGCGCGTCGTGCCGCTTAGGAGGGGTAGGCCGTGACGTCATGCGGCGGATCGATACGGTGACGGTGACGTAGTCATCATTCGCGCAGCGAGGCTCGAGCGAGACAGGCATAGCGGTGCGTAGGTGTCGCGTTATTACTTTATTACTTTTCGGAACTCGATCACGGTAAGTAGCAAGAGACACGAGACACTGGTCATTCGATCTACAAACGATCAGTGATTGCATGCCCGCACGATCGATCAATTACCGTAATTAACGACTCGTAAATCATCGGAGGCGGCGCCGCGGCGGTAGTTCGTTGGCACTCGCGGCGAGGTAGATAACCGGCGCAATTAATTTACTCGAAAGAGAGATTCAAAGTCGTAGATAACGGGAAATACAAATGGCTATTTCGTCGCGGATGCTCACGGGTGATAATTATTTCATTGGCGGCGCTTGGATTCTCGAGATTTTATATCCGCGTCCGCGTCGTACTTTCAGGTTTCGATGTAAACGTGACTTGTGCGATTCAAATGCGCGGAGTAATACACGGCCCGCCGAAACGGCGGCGCTCGAGTAACTCATCGGAAAATTGCGATATATCCATGATACGATCGTTTATTCAATAATATGTATATCGCGTGGGAAATACGCGTTTGAGAAATATCGCGAGTGCAATATTGGGATCCGTTTGCGTATTTTCAGACGATTTATCGCAACTTATTTAATCGTTCAGTGCGATTCATACGTATATTTCGTTTCGTGCGTGAAGTTGGCAGCCGTTCGCGAACGGACTCCGAGCTCCGAGTCGAGCAGCGTCGCAGCGCGTTTAATTTAGTAATTAACGTTATAACGAGCCACGTAATTCGATATTCGTCAAATGGACAGCGTAAATTCGACGTTCGTACAAGAGATGAATAGTGAAGACGCGTGTCTGGAGAGAGTTATTCGATCGAAATCTATCGCTCGGGCAGTTATGGGTTATGGGCAAATCGCAGGTACGCATCTTTCGTACGCATAATGGTACTTTTCTCGTGTTATTTTTTCCGTCGCTATATGATAAAATACATAATTGTGTACAGGAATATAATAAAGTGCGTGCGTGCGTGCGAATAACGTCGCGATTAACGGAAGTGCCGTACAAAGTGCCGCACGATTGCTGCATTCTAATGACTCTTACGCGCGTGATAATTAATTAGCGTATTTTTGCGAGGCAGGTGTTTCGTGAGTGCAACAACGAGGAAACGAGAGGAGGAGGAGGAGGCCAGGGAGGCATCGGGCGACAGCGGAGCAACCATGAGGTGAGCATCTCCTAATTTATTTTATATATTTATTATTTGTATAGGATTAATTATTGCATAGTACTGTTCTATATTATTATTGTGCATAATGTGTGTAACATATTTAAGATTTAATTTTGGGAAATAGTCAAAACATTGAATAGAATATTTGTAAAATATTTGTTTAATAATTGATGAAGACATACGTGAAATATTTCGACACGTTTAAAATTTATAACTGTTTGGATTAGATAAAAATTAAATTTTTATTATTAAAATTTTATTTGTAAAATATATGTAATATAACATGTATAAAATTTTATAAAAGTTAATATTTAACAGAGCGTTTTATCGAAAATTATGTATTATTAATTACGTTGCAAAATACTTTAATTTAGATATATTTGTATTTTACAGATTCGCGTCTTGTATACTACAACTCCGCTGCTGCGCATCATACCGGTGAGTTTTAAATTATTTTTATTTTAATCTTGAGGTAATGGATTTGTAAATATATTGCATATACGTATAACAGGTTTTTTTTTCGATAATTATTAGTATGCAAAAGGATCATATTAAATTATATAACAAATAATTTAAATTGAACAAGTAGCAGCAATGAAATATTCTAGTATTTATATCCTCTTTATTTTTATTATTGTAAACTGCTTCATATCTAAATTTTATGATTATTTCTGGTTGTATGTATTACAACTGTTAAAAAAAAAAAAAATTTAAATTAAGAATATAAAAATATTATATAGATAGATATAATGTTTTATAAATCTGTTACCTTAATGGATGAGCTAGGATACATTATTATAAATATGTAACTCTGGAATATATAAAGTATAAATTCGATTTATTGAATTCTCTGTATAATTGCCAAATATATACGATTTTCGAGAGATTAAGAACACCATGAAAATATAATACATTAATAATTTTATTTAGCTAATATATATAGTGTCTCAGATGTATTATAATAAAATTATTTTTTGAATTTAATAATGAGGTACCTAATTAATGAAAAATTATGAAAAAGAAAAGGACGTAAAAAAAGAACTCTCTTTAATAGATAAAATATTAACATTTTAAAAACATGAAACTTCTATTTGAATCTCTTCATGGTGTTCGTGACAGCATGATTCACGATAATGA